AAAGTCGGGCGGGGCCGACTTTATGATACCCTACACCACTTTACTAATTTAGTATAACTCCGCATAACAATTAAAAGTTTTTATGGGAGAATTCAATCCTACACGCTATAATTGTAATTATAATTTAAAGTTCAAGGGACTAAATATGTCAAAGCATTTGTATATTTTAAATTCGGACTTGTATTGCCCTTTCGGTGCTCAATTAATTTCAAATCGGATAAAGATATATATGGGAGCTATATCCAAATCGGAACCGATCTCGAAAAAATTTAGCAAATATATTTATGGCCAGTATTTGATATATTTCCCTGAATATCGTTGTTACGGAGTGTATATTATCGGATGAACAGCATATATGAGAGCTATAGCTATATCTGAACCGATTTTCACCAAATTTGAAATACTAGCTTCTGGACTCAATTCGTAAGTGCCAAATTCCATCCAATTTGGACAAATATTAGACGTTTGGTGCACAATAAAAGGTAAATTGGACAAATTTGTATATGAGAGCTATATCCAAATCTGAACCGATCTCGATAAAATTTAGTAAACGTATTTCTGAGCTGTATTTGATATATTAATATTTGGATATTGTCGTTACAGAGTGCATATTACGGCTGTGCAGGACAAAAACAACAAATCGGATGGACAATATATATGGGAGCTATAGCTATATATGAACCGATTTCGATCAAATTTGGCATACTTATTTTCAGGCCTAATTTGGTTGTATGTGCAAAATTCCATACTATCTGGGCTGATATTACTCCTTCGGTGCACAATAAAAGGCAAATCGGACGAAGATATATATTGCAGCTATATCTAAATTTTGACCGATTATCTCCAATTTCAATAGGGTTCGTCCTTGGGCCAAACAAATGATTTGTGCCATCTGGATAGGACACGCATAAATCGACTCAGAATGTGATTCTATACAGATCATCAAAAGTTACATACAAACAAATGCACAAAGACATAATACCCTGACCACCTTACTTTTAATTGAGCCCTTCAAATCTACATAAATTTAAATCAAAATTATTCTCAATTTCCAGACAAGAATACATTGCAAACATTTTTTGTTATTATAAAATAGCAATATTGATATTAAAATCGGAATCGAAGAAGAACTTAAAAATTATTCCACTTATTTAAAATGTTCCCAATTTGCTTGCTTTATAACAACAATAAACTTCTTTAAATATTTAAATAACGTTAATAATGGAACGGCATCGAATATTATTTGTTTTAATTCGGGATTAAAACACTTGTTCAATATTAAATAAAAAAATAATACTTGAAATTCATTTTTTAAAAATATACAAATTCAGCAAATGCGAATTGATGAAATACTTCCATATTGGTAAATCGTCGGCAATAATTGGTGGCGGATTCTACAAATTAGACCATAAGAATAAGTTAGTGAATTTTTCAAATTGAATAAACAACTGAAACCTACGACTTGGATTAAGGCAGCGGCATTGCTGTATCCGATGACAGTACACAGCGAAAACGCCAAACAGGGGAAAATAAACCTCGAAAAGAACATCATTGAAGCTACAATCACTTGATGAAGCTAGCGTAACGCAAAGTCGACTGATATTAAAATTTAATATCAGTTAAAAAAATTGTATGGTTTATATATGTAGACGAAGGTATGCAAATGATTTAACCGACATCTTGTTATCAAATACGAGAGACTTGTATGTACAAGGTGGCGCAAAAGTAAATCAGAAAATGCTATAAATATTACGATTGGCTCATAATGTCAGTTCTGTTTTGATATTTTTGTAGTAATACGTGAATACACGTTAATAAGCAATGTTACGCTACACTGTCCCAGAAGGTGGAATATTGGTGACTATTTATTTGATCAATAATCGGTCGGTGACTTTGGCACAAGGTGATTTTCGTCGCAGATTTCCTGGTCGTCCAACGCCTACTGGTGAAACACTGCGACGTTAGCCGCTCGCCTCGAAGAGACTAGCACAACAAAAGATGCTGCCAGGCGTGGCAGACCCCGGAGTATCCGCTCTGCAGAGAATATTCCTATTGTAGCCGAGAATATCATAGAAGCGCCGTCGACCAGGCGACGAGCCACGCAAATGGGTATCAATCGACGGTCTTTACAGCAAAGTTTGGTACAGGATTTGAAGATGTTCAGATGATGCATAGGCTATTAGCTGCTGACCGCTAATTGCTTCTAACATGTGATGAATCCATCCTTAATCACCACCAAGAATAAGATGATTTTTCATATAAGTGATTAGACCGATTTCCATCTTAGCGGGTACGTAAATAAGCAACATTTACGCTTCTGGGGGCACTGAAAATCCTCGTGTAACCCACGAAGAGCCATTATAGCCGCTCAAAGTCACTGCATGGTGTGCTGCTTTCGCGGAAGTCATCGGACCTTTTTTCGCGGGCCAAACGGTTACTGTGAATGGTGAGCACTACAAAGCAAAAGGTTGGGATTAGAAAAAATGTGGTTCCAACAGGTGCAACGGCACACACTGCACGTACCACAGTGGATATGCTGAAGGATCCATTTCCCGGGCGCCTAATCTCCCGTTTTGGCGATTTGCTCTGGCCAGCAAGGTCGCCTGATTTGACTTCCCCAGACTTCTTCTTTTTTGTGGGGCTTTTTGAAGTCGCGGGTTTATATCAGCAAGCCCCTCTTTGAGCTCTAAAAGACAATATACGTCGAGAATGCGAGGACCTATTGCCAGAAGTTTTGGTCAAATGATGGGAAATTCCATAAAAAGGATTGAAATGGTAATGAACTTTGGGGGCGGTTCATGTTCTCGACTTGATGTAAAAAAAACTAAAAGACCAAAGAAAAATAATTCAGAAAAAGAATCAAAGTTTTTTATTTTTTTCTTTTAAATTACAGGCGAAAAACGTCGGAAATTTAATTCTGAGCCACCTTGTACAATCATGCAAAACGTTTCCAATCCCAAAACTTGTCTAATTATTTGAATAGTGAGTTGCCAATAGAGGTTCTGCAACAAAAATCAAAGTTCCCTCACCATGGCAATTATTATAGATACGTACTCGAAATGAATACAAATTTACTTTTTGGTTTCCGGTATCATCCTTTTTTGCCACAACTCTATTGAATCGAAATGCAATGCAATGTAATTTTGAGTCATATTTAATATTAATTTTTATACCCTCCACCTTGAAAAAGAGGGTATATTGACTTCGTCATTCCGTTTGTAACATCCCTAAATATTTGTCGTAGACCCAATAAAGTATATATATTCATAATCAGTATAACAGTACCTTTCGATATTCGGTATTTCAATGATAGTCGCCACATTTTTTGCCGGATTTGTCTAAAAATTGATATTTGTAGGTCATAATGAGTTTTAGCTGCGATGGCGAAACATTGTATGTATAGTTCCACGTTTTTGTATAGTCCACATATAACGATACCTCCCGATATTCGGTATTCCGATTGATTTTTTGCTACATTTTTCCACGGACTTGTCTAAAAATTGGTATTTGTAGGTCATAATGAGTTTTAGCTCCGGTGGCGATACATGCTATGTATAGGTCTACGTTTTCGTATAGCCCCACATAATAAACCTCTGGATATTTACTATTTTGATGATTTTTGCCAAATTTTTCCACGGATATGTCTAAAATTTGGTATTTGTGGTTCATAATGGGATTTTGATTCGGCGGCAGAACATTAAGTTCCACGTTTTCCGATTGCGCTCATATAACGATAACCACCGATATTCGGTATTTTGATAATCCTATTCATATTTACCCAGGAAATTGTTTCAAATTTATTATTAAGAATTCAGATACTTTTATATAAAAATGTTTTTTTTTACCCGAAGGTGGAGGGTATTAGAAGTTTATTCTGGTCGAACTTAATGTTTTTTTTACAGTTCGAGCAAATTGCGTTAATAAAATATTATTAGTAGTAATTTCAAATGTATTTCGATTATTTTGAAGATAATTGTAGCTTGATTTTTTTTTTTTTGATATATATGTTTAAATAAATTATTAAGTTACAGAATTTTTTCTTTAGATGTCGTAGCTACATTTTTTAGAGCATACTGAAACAAAAAACTATATATATATATAAATTATTTTAACTATTCTAAATGTACTGCGAAATAATATATTGTTACCCACAGACTTCATACTTTATACTTTAAAAGAATATAATATAATACCATCTCCTGTTTTTAGGGTCGATTTATAAAAAAATTTCTGGAGAAGTGTCTCGCGACACACCTGGGGAGCGTCGACCTGCGGCAGTAGGTGAGCATAGTCTTATGCCCACAATTATGTGAACGCATGACGATGAAATTGCTGTTATATGCCAAGACCACACTAACCTCAAACGTGGACCTATTTTAGAAAATATTTTTATTGTTGTTGTATAAGGTTGATATGACTTATTTTTAAATAGAAATTTCCCTTTACAACAACAAAGAAAACAAGTAATGTAAGTACAAAACCTGGGTAGAGCCGAATGTTTTATACCCTACACCACAATGCACATTATACAGGTGAGATAAAAAAAAACTGCAACAAAGTCAAGAGCCAAAATTTTTACATTTTTTTCCAAATGTTTGGGTGGCCAAGGCTTTAATACACCCTTCAGAATATTTTCGCGATAATATTCGACATTTATTCTGATGCCACGGTCCATTAATACGAGCGGAGAGCGACCATCGGCTGTTATGACGGCCCACACCATCACCATGGCCAGCGTTTGAGTTCTGGTGGCCAACCGAAGGTGCACATTTTCAGCTGACCTCTTTGGCAAGTAAAAACGATCATTTTGTTTGTTTACAAACTGCTGGACAACGAATGTTTTCTCATCGGAGAAAACCAAATTCGGCAGTTCACCACTTTCGGCCAAGCGAATTTATATTTTACCTTCGTGTTACAAAGCTCATGATACGCTTAATATGCAGTTCAAACGTTCAAGATTAAAAAAGAAAATAAATACTCAATTTATGGACCGCTGCACCAGCCAGTCTAACGCTTGCAATTGACTTATCAGCATCAGCTATCGCTTGAGAAAAAAATAATAAAATTTCATATGAAATAATAAATATAATATGTCACTGAATTGTTTGCTTGTGTTTGTGTGTATTTTTGTTGTCACCTCGGCGGAGGGAAAGTTCAAATGTCAAGATCGTTTTAAGCTTTGCATGAATTTATGCTGTGATAAAAATCTCCTCTACAACTTCAAATTGCAACAATGTGTCTCCGCCAAGGATATGAATGTGACTTGGAATAAACAACTGGAGCTAGGTCATAAGTTCTTAAAAACGGTAAATTTGCTCACCGAATTCGATTTTGAAGAGCGAACACCTTGTAGATCGGCCAAAAATTATACAAATTTCGATTATGACATTTTAAGTTTGGATGTAAGTTGGAGTTGGAATTTAACTTCTCTGTTTTTTACTATTTTTCATAGCTGATATAATTTTTTTCAGTATGTTTTCGGAAATTTTTGTTTTACACCCTACTACGTGGATGAACGTAAGGAATATGTACTATTGCCGGTCGTCACAAATTGTAACAAAACTGAGGAACTTTTAAATGCACAGGTAAGTTGAAAATTGTGATACATGCAGGGCTGGCTTATTTCCAATGGACAACCGCAAAAGAGAAATTTATTTAAAAATAGAAAAAACGTCAATGCACAATTAAATTTAAAGAATAAAAAAGCAATATTCATTAGAAATGGAAAATTATAAAAGATTTACTTGGAATATACGACTGAAACCTTTACATTGAATGGTGGCATTTCATGGTACCTTTCTCGACTTGCGTTGAGATTTTAAGAGATATTCTTAACAACAAAGTCTAAGACTATCAATGGGAGCTGCTTCAGTTGAAGAATGTTCCTGGTTACTTCAAAATATTCAAAAAAAATCTGAATATGAAATTTTTAGGCATAGGCTGTGGTACCTATTACAAACATCAAATACCAAATTTGAAACAATTCCGGTGAATATTGTCGCTTAAATCACCAAAATGCCGAAAATAGGGAGAGGTACCATTATATGGAGGCCATATCAAAACGTGGACCTACCATTTTCAATATCAAAAGTCCTGCAGACATAATATGCATTTGAGTAAAATTTTATCAAACTACTTCAATTCGTTCGGAAGCTAGAGTTATTTCTACAGACGGACAAACGGACAGACAGACCGACGGACGGTCGGTCTTAAATAGACATAGAATTTTATGCAGATCAAGAATATATACTTTGTGGGGTATAACATGTATAGTTCGAGGTGTTACGAACGGAATGACAAACTTAATATGCCCTCCATACTATGGTGGAGGGTATAAAAAGCCTGCAGTGGCCATTGCATTGATCATAAATAATAGCTGAAAACGCCGAAAACTCAATATTTAAGGAGTTATGGCCATTTTAAAATATCCGATAACTCACACTTAAAAAAGTGATCACAAATAATAGCTAAAAACGCCGAAAACTCAATATTTAAGGAGTTATGGCCATTTTAAAATTCCTATTATTTCACATTTAGAAAAGTGATCACAAATAATAGCTAAAAACGCCGAAAACTCAATATTTAAGGAGTTATGGCCATTTTAAAATATCCAATAGTTCACACTTATGGCCAATTTAAAATTCCTATTATTTCACATTTAAAAAAGTGATCACAAATAATAGCTAAAAACGCCGAAAACTCAATATTTAAGGAGTTATGGCCATTTTAAAATATCCAATAGTTCAAACTTAAAAAAGGGATCACAAATAATAGCTAAAAACGCCGAAAACTCAATATTTAAGGAGTTATGGCCATTTTAAAATTCCTATTATTTCACATTTAAAAAGTGATCACAAATAATAGCTAAAAACGCCGAAAACTCAATATTTAAGGAGTTATGGCCATTTTAAAATATCCAATAGTTCACACTTAAAAAAGTGATCACAAATAATAGCTAAAAACGCCGAAAACTCAATATTTAAGGAGTTATGGCCATTTTAAAATTCCTATTAATTCACAAGTGGTCACAAATAATAGCTAAAAACGCCGAAAACTCAATATTTAAGGAGTTATGGCCATTTTAAAATATCCAATAGTTCAAACTTAAAAAAGGGATCACAAATAATAGCTAAAAACGCCGAAAACTCAATATTAAAGGAGTTATGGCCATTTTAAAATACCCAATAATTCACACTTGATCACAAATAATTCACAAAGTGATCACAAATAATAGCTAAAAACGCCGAAAACTCAATATTTAAGGAGTTATGGCCATTTTAAAATTCCTATTATTTCACACTTAAAAAAGTGATCACAAATAATAGCTAAAAACGCCGAAAACTCAATATTTAAGGAGTTATGGCCATTTTAAAATATCCAATAGTTCACATTTAAAAAAGTGATCACAAATAATAGCTAAAAACGCCGAAAACTCAATAGTTAAGGAGTTATGGCCATTTTAAAATGTCCAATAATTCACACTTAAAAAAGTGATCACAAATAATAGCTAAAACCGCCGAAAACTCAATATTTAAGGAGTTATGGCCATTTTAAAATATCCAATAGTTCACACTTAAAAAAGTGATCACAAATAATAGCTAAAAACGCCGAAAACTCAATATTAAGGAGTTATGACCATTTTAAAATATCCAATAGTTCACACTTAAAAAAGTGATCAGAAATAATAGCTAAAAACGCCGAAAACTCAATATCTAAGGAGTTATGGCCATTTTAAAATATCCAATAGTTCACACTTAAAAAAGTGATCACAAATAATAGCTAAAAATGCCGAAAACTCAAAATTTAAGGAGTTATGGCCATTTTAAAATTCCTATTATTTCACACTTAAAAAAGTGATCACAAATAATAGCTAAAAACGCCGAAAACTCAATATTTAAGGAGTTATGGTCATTTTAAAATTCCTATTATTTCACACTTAAAAAAGTGATCACAAATAATAGCTAAAAACGCCGAAAACTCAATATTTAAGGAGTTATGGCCATTTTAAAATTCCTATTATTTCACACTTAAAAAAGTGATCACAAATAATAGCTAAACACACCGAAAACTCATTATTTAAGGAGTTATGGCCATTTTAAAATATCCAATAGTTCACACTTAAAAAAGTGATCACAAATAATAGCTAAAAACGCCGAAAACTCAATATTTAACGAGTTATGACCATTTTAAAATATCCAATAGTTCACACTTAAAAAAGTGATCAGAAATAATAGCTAAAAACGCCGAAAACTAAATATCTAAGGAGTTATGGCCATTTTAAAATTCCTATTATTTCACACTTAAAAAAGTGATCACAAATAATAGCTAAAAACGCCGAAAACTCAATATTTAAGGAGTTATGGCCATTTTAAAATATCCAATAATTCACACTTAAAAAAGTGATCACAAATAATAGCTAAAAACGCCGAAAACTCAATATTTAAGGAGTTGTGGCCATTTTAAAATATCCAATAGTTCACACTTAAAAAAGTGATCACAAATAATAGCTAAAAACGTCGAAAACTCAATATTTAAGGAGTTATGGCCATTTTAAAATATCCAATAATTCACACTTAAAAAAAGTGTTCACAAATAATAGCTAAACACACCGAAAACTCATTATTTAAGGAGTTATGGCCATTTTAAAATATCCAATAGTTCACACTTAAAAAAGTGATCACAAATAATAGCTAAAAACGCCGAAAACTCAATATTTAAGGAGTTATGACCATTTTAAAATATCCAATAGTTCACACTTAAAAAAGTGATCAGAAATAATAGCTAAAAACGCCGAAAACCTCAATATCTAAGGAGTTATGGCCATTTTAAAATTCCTATTATTTCACACTTAAAAAAGTGATCACAAATAATAGCTAAAAACGCCGAAAACTCAATATTTAAGGAGTTATAGCCATTTTAAAATATCCAATAATTCATACTTAAAAAAAGTGTTCACAAATAATAGCTAAACACACCGAAAACTCATTATTTAAGGAGTTATGGCCATTTTAAATTCCTATTATTTCACACTTAAAAAAGTGATCACAAATAATACCTAATACCGAAAACTCAATATTTAAGGAGTTATGGCCATTTTAAAATATCCAATAATTCACACATAAAAAAGTGATCGCAAATAATAGCTAAAAAACGCCGAAAACTCAATATTTAAGGAGTTATGGCCATTTTAAAATTCCCATTATTTCACGTTTAAAAAAGTGATCACAAATAATAGCTAAAAACGCCGAAAACTCAATATTTAAAGAGTTATGGCCATTTTAATATATCCAATAATTCACACTTAAAAAAGTGATCAAAATAATAGCTAAAAATGCCGAAAACTCAATATTTAAGGAGTTATGGCCATTTTAAAATATCTAATAATTCACACTTAAAAAAGTGATCACAAATAATAGCTAAAAACGCCGAAAACTCATATTTAAGGAGTTATGGCCATTTTAAAATATCCAATAGTTCACACTTAAAAAAGTGATCACAAATAATAGCTAAAAACGCCGAAAACTCAATATTTAAGGAGTTATGGCCATTTTAAAATATCCAATAGTTCACACTTAAAAAAGTGATCACAAATAATAGCTAAAAACGCCGAAAACTCAATATTTAAGGAGTTATGGCCATTTTAAAATTCCCATTATTTCACACTTAAAAAGTGATCACAAATAATAGCTAAAATCGCCGAAAACTCAATATTTAAGGAGTTATGACCATTTTAAAATTCCTATTATTTCACACTTAAAAAAGTGATCACAAATAAAAGCTAAAAACGCCGAAAACTCAATATTTAAGGTGTTATGGCCATTTTAAAATATCCAATAGTTCACACTTAAAAAAAGTGATCACAAATAATAGCTAAAAACGCCGAAAACTCAATATTTAAGGAGTTATGGCCATTTTAAAATATCCAATAATTCACACGTAAAAAAAGTGATCACAAATAACAGCTAAAAACGCCGACAACTCAATATTTAAGGAGTTATGGCCATTTTAAAATATCCAATAATTCACACATAAAAAAGTGATCGCAAATAATAGCTAAAAACGCCGAAAACTCAATATTTAAGGAGTTATGGCAATTTTAAAATTCCCATTATTTCACGTTTAAAAAAGTGATCACAAATAATAGCTAATACCGAAAACTCAATATTTAAGGAGTTATGACCATTTTAAAATATCCAATAATTCACACGTAAAAAAAGTGATCACAAATAACAGCTAAAAACGCCGACAACTCAATATTTAAGGAGTTATGGCCATTTTAAAATATCCAATAATTCACACATAAAAAAGTGATCGCAAATAATAGCTAAAAACGCCGAAAACTCAATATTTAAGGAGTTATGGCAATTTTAAAATTCCCATTATTTCACGTTTAAAAAAGTGATCACAAATAATAGCTAAAAACGCCGAAAACTCAATATTTAAGGAGATATGGCCATTTTAATATATCCAATAATTCACACTTAAAAAAGTGATCACAAATAATAGCTAAAAACGCCGAAAACTCAATATTTAAGGAGTTATGGCCATTTTAAAATATCCAATAGTTCACACTTAAAAAAAGTGA